CTCCTTGGTCCAGTCAGCCCAGGTGCTGGTAGCAGCGGCCGGGGTGGTGGTGGTAGTGGTGGTAGTGGTGGTGGTGCTGGACTCCTTGGTCCAGTCAGCCCAGGTGCTGGATGGGTCGGCCGGGATGGCGGCAGCGGTGGCGGCGAAAGCTGCAACGGCAGCGACAGATGCGGTGACCTTCATTTTGTTTGTGGGAGGGTGGGAGTTTCTGAATTAGAAAACTGTAAAGGTGTTTGGTTGTTGGAGGTTGAAAAACGAGTGTCGTGGTACAAAGACCGGAGTTGTTCGAGTCTAACGAGTGACTGGAAGTTGGAGTATTGATCTTGGGATGGAGAGAGAAAAAGATGAGCTTGGGAGAGAAGCAACCGGCCATATATACACTGGCGGTCGTATATTGAGCTGAACCCGGAGGATCTCAGGAAATTAGAGTATCCTGCTAGTGTGAGTGTGCCCGTGATGGTGGTGGTGCAGTAGTGCCACGAGTTTGTTGCGAGGTCCCATCGGTGGATCTGCCCGACGGAGGTTGTATTTCGAGGCGTCAGGGGTAACGCCAGCAATTCCCTGCAGCCTCCACATCGTCGGCTTTAGCGCAGCCTCATCAGCGAGATTGGCGGCCCTATTGGCGCTTTTTCTTTCCCGGCCCAAATTGTAGCGGAGTAGCGGCCACGACCTTTCTCATCAACATGCTCGAGCTGTCTTTTGGAAGCTCTGCGGCTCTCATCGCGGGCCTTTGCTTCTGAAGGCTGTCAATGTCGCCGTCAAATGATCAGCATTGATCGTTATGAAGTATATTGCAATGTGGTTTTGGTCCAGTCAGACGACCTGGGCTTCATCACAGTTACATTATTGTGATGGATGTCCGAATCAAACACCTGGTGGAGTTTTCTCTTGTTCCAGTAGCTGTTCCATGGTAGATGAAGCTGTTCTCCTAACGTGGGCCAGAAACCCATACTGCAGGTCTAGTTCAGCCCCTTTGTGCGGTGCCTGGTAGGGAATGTTTCTGTTCGTTTAGGCGTGCCAATCCGCTCGAGACAATGGTACCATTGGCGACCGGGGATTTGGGTAGCAGAAGCCACCATTCACTGGTTCAGGGCTGTGGCCGAGTAGCACGGTACTCCCCTGGCATGGGTGACTGGTCACTCACGAGTCGATTCAGCCCATCAGCCCACCGGTAGCCGTTTCGCTTTGAGCCTCTTGTACACTATGCCGTCACTGGAACGGCGCCGGCGAGCAAAAGGGGCTACTTCGAACTCAGAAATCGAGCCGTAATTCGTGCCGTGTTCCAAACACAAAGCTTGAGGTTGCTTATTCATGCAAAGGCCTCATTTCGTTGGGCGTCAAGTGGTCGAAGTGATCAGACCAGGCGCGCTACGGGAAATCACCGCCAAGCCTGCGCACCGGCTGATAACCAATCGGCTCACGCCTCTTGGGAGCTTGGAGCCTCGTCAGCTTCAATCTTGGAATTAATCCTCCACCATCCTCTTAACCTTCGAGCTCGTCGTTACGATTCTCCCAAACCTCTCCTCGCCACTGGCCGTGCAATCTCGACTGTTTTACTTCCTTTCGCTTGGCCGACCCATGTTCAGTTCCCTGCAAGTCTACTTCATGCGGACCCGGGCGCCGCCGCACAGCTCCCCAAGCTTCTAGCGCCAATACCAATCCAGACACCCAACGGATCGTACAGTATCTGGGTGAAAGGAGCATGGACGAGCATTCTACTGTACAGAATTGACATCGAGATGGGCTCACGGACACTTTCCAGCTGCACGCCACAAGAAATTCACGCAAAAAACGGTCAAGAGTACCGATTCTGATCATGATGATGATGCAATAGAACCGATCGTCAGGGAGGTCTGGAACAGAACTTGACGTTGGTTTGTTTGTTGATCAGCATTGACCATTGTATCTGGAAGCGGTATCGATAAGCAGGTCAAGTTTTGGAGGCTCTAGTCCTTGGACTAGCGAACAAGTTCATGAAATGGAGCATCCAGGCTTTTCCCCGGTTCACGGCCAGTTCTGTTCCTCACGGCCGCAAGGAGCACAAAATAGGGCTGGAACTGCTTTTGCCATGAGCGACTGAAAATAGCATCCAAACAGACAAGCGGTGGGTATATCTCCCCCTGCTATTTTCTCAACTTGCCCTGGTCGAAGGATCCGGTCAAAGATTACTTCTCCGCCAACGCAGATGAGGACCGGCTACCAGTTTCGGCTATATCTGAATGAATGAGAACAAACCGGACTTGATCCGATTTACCGGACTGTCTTTGATTAGTCCAGTGGCGTTTATTCGAGACCTGGCCACTCGATCATGTTCCCCCTTCTCTCGAGGAAATAGTAGAAGTTGCAGAGCGCTTAGGGACACAACTCGGCCCAGATGCGGAGCCAGAGTTATCAGCTTATCAAGGTTTTCTCATCCACCCCGGGCAGAAGAGACATCTGTGGGCATTACTGTACAATGGTACAGTCGCTGTACCGTACTAACCAACTGGTGGCGGGTGGCTCGTGGGCAACGGTCGGGAAGGAAGGCTTCAGTTGTAGTGACAGCATAAACAAACAAGTAAATAAACAAATACGAGTAACTACACAACCAAGAAAGCAAACGCCACACAACACTAGAGACCAATTCACTCGCCTGTACAGCAGGTAGGCAACTGGCACACTACTACATGTACGGCATACTGGTGGACAAAGGTCGTCTGTTGCACGGTGGACGGCTCCAACCTTCTTCCAGCCAGGAATTGTAGCAAGAGAGTACATGAATATAATTCTAATAAATTGACCGACTTTTCATCCTTGCTGTAGATCAACGTAAGGCCAACCCACCAATGCCTACACCTAAAACCCTAGGCTGCTCTACCATGATTTCTCCATAGAATCTCGTATACCATCTCCTATTCAGTGGCCACAGACTACTATGATAATTACCAGGTATATGCCATGTAGAAAGGGGGAAGATTGCCACGGGGACCGGGGTGGTTCGGCAATCTCCTGTTCCCTATCGCGGTACCTACCTCAGGCTACCTTACGTTAATGCTTGCCACCACCCCCTCAAAAAGACCCGAGACATAATAATAGCAATAAATCATGGAAAAAGAAAATCACAAAAGGTCCCACCAGGTCAAGTCAGGGACTTTTGGAAATAGGATGGATTCAGTCACTTAAGACCACCGAAATTGATTGTCTCCATCGCTCAGAAATGAGCAACAGTAGTAGTACAGTGGGCCCGGTCCGAACAAAAGTAGATAATCATAATGGCACGTCCCCAATTTGCCGCCTCCTAGGCCGTCACGTGCGGTTGAATATTCCTGTCCCCATCCCCCCTCGAGCCAACCTCAGCTGTACAATGTTGTACGAACCTACCTCACATTTTCTCTTCCACTCTCCTACAGTACTACTACTGTACTCAACAGCATCAAGCACACGACGAAGTGTAATGCAATGCGATGCGCTGCAATCCAGGGGTGAATTCCTTGCAAATATGCTACGGTCGAGAATATGAAGAAAAGATCATGGGGCTGTAGACGGAGAGTGGTGTCTCTTGTCTGGGACCTGGATGCGTGATGATGCGCAAATGTCAAAGAGCAAGCAAAAGGAAACATGCATGAAGAAGGGCTGCTAGTCATTGTGAATGAATTTTTTGGCATTGTTTCGTGTGTTCTCAGTTTCCCTTGCTATCCACGCTCAATTCAGCTCATGAGAACACACTGTCCGGGGTATCATCTGCTTTTCGCAGTGTGAGAGCCTTGCTCACTGCAACTTGCTTGGTAGGTACATCATACAAAAGTCCATTGTGCTCACCCATAGCTGTCGCCGAAGACTGAATCGTCCGTCCACCATTCGCCATCCAGTCGAACGACGACCTTTGCGTGTTGAGCCGCCGTTTCTGGCTCAGCCACCATTGACTACTAGGTCCTGCACGCATCCATCACATTCAATCACCTTGCATTCCATTCTCTCAACCGCACATCCGGGAACCTAGGGATTTCGTTGGACGATGTGGTGCTATTGCACAGGCGCGCGTCGTCAGGTGGGTGTATGTCGGCATGTCAGTGAGCAGTAATTGTTGGTCTGTTGGAAAGCAATTCAGATGACGAACTTGGTGCCTGGGCTGGTCTCGTAGATCATCTTGACTTCCTGCTCCTTCTCGATTCTGGGGCGGAGTCTCTCCTTGTCGTCATACGGGACTACCATGGCCTTCTTCAACTTTTGCATTAGGGTGGGCTGAATCTTTCCGTTCATGCCTCGCCAGTTGGCAAGCAAGATCAACTCATGACACTTCATCTCGGTCAAGGCCTTCAAGAAGTGGAATTCGCCGCTGACAAGTCGAGCACGACCGGCAAACAAGAGCGACAACTTGTACAGCGTGGCTTTGGATCCGATCATACGGAAGATCTCATGCAAGGTTGGTTCCTTGACGAATCGGCGCTGAGTGATACTGACTCCGGGGTAGTTTCTCGCGGTCGCATCAGTCAAGGCGAAGGAGACGTATTTCAGGCATGCAACGTTGGCTGGGCCAATTCTCTCGAGGAAATGTCTGACGTCTTTGTATCCGATCTCTTCCCAGGTTTCTTGGTAGAACTTGCCACGAACCTCGATGCTTCGAGCGAAGTTGAACGCATTTTCCCCATACAAGATCGCCCTAGCCTCCTGGTGGATCTGCTTGCAGGTTGCCAGAAGAGCAGATGAACGGGAGAAGTTGACACGTCGGCCGAAATCCACAGCTTCGTCGCCACGGAGGAGGAATCGATAGATACGAACACGCATTTCGGTCGGGAGGCCCAGCAGGGTTGCCTCGTAGACCTCGGGCTTGTTGGGCTTTGCTATGGCTGTGTCGCGTGGCATGTTCAACTCAGACGGTCGAACATTGAGGGTTTCTGCCGGTGCGCTCATCACCTTCAAGCCGCTGAGGCCCAGGTGGTGCTTGAGAAGGTCCATGAGGTTCACATTGATCACGGTGGCTTGGCCTGATGTGGTGGTGGCTCCGATGGTGACGATACCTGCGACCTGGGCTGCGTCGTTGCTCGCGACTTGAGCCACCATCTCAGTCGACGAGGGTTCAGGCTTGTCAGTCGACGAGGATTCAGGCTCGGCAGTCCACAGAGTGCTGTCGTCAATTTCGCTGTCGTCGTACTCAGGAATGTCATCGTCGGACAATTCAGGGACGGCAGGGGTTGGCCCATAGCGACGTTCAAGTCGAAGATCGGTGCGACGCTTCTTCTCAGCTTCTTTCTCCTGGGCTGAAAGTCTCTTTCTCTTTCGGATCTTTGGAACCCCAGCTTGGTCAGATTCGTTGCCGGAAGAGAGGTCATCAAAGGCGTTGTTGTTGGACTTCATCTTGTTGGCTTTGGCTGCAGCCGCGCCAGCTTTTCCGCCTGCGCGCCGTGGGGCCATGATCAAGGTGCTCAACTACGCGACAACCTGTGCTAGTTGAGGGGATACCTTGACCATGGAGGTTGAAGAGAGCTAGTAAGAGGTAGTAGTTGTGCAAAGGGGGAAGTGGTTGAGTGTGAGGGTTGAAAGAAGAGTGGACTGCGATAGATCAATAGATCGGGCGCAGGCGAAGAGGTGGTTGTTGACGCGCAGGTGAGGAAGCGACACTGCCAGCGCCTCTACTAAAAGGTATTATCGTCGCGTTATTCACAGCGTGACGGCAGCGCACTAAGACACTACAAAATACTCGCGCTTGGCGAAGAGTGTTAACTCACTTCAAGTTCACCCTGCACTGCGGACTGCGCCAGGAGTACATCTGGCCGTGAGGCTTGCAAGGAAGGCGTGCAGGCAGTCAATGTTCGATCGGGGTCACTGTGATTCTACTGCCCGTGTCCGACAAGGTGGCCGTCATCCCAATCTCATGTGGTGGCAGGCAGCGAACACGGGTTGTTGCCGGCCTCTTGAGATACACGTTCCTCAGTCATGCATGGTGGAAAAGCGACGTCTGTTCCTGGGCTTAGCATTTCTCAGACGTAGACACATTGCATTGCTTGTCAGAGAAAAAAAAGGAAAAGATCTTCACAAAGCAGTTGCCCCGTGGCATCAATTTTGTCCAGGCTGCTATATAAGAGTAGCAGTCATGATAGTCAACCGTAACAAGACTTGGAATCAGTAGACACGCAGCACAATTCATGTCTTTTCAAATCAAGAAACCATCAAGACGCAAGGGAGTGTCTCCTCCGCCGTCCTGCTTTGTGTAACTGCTCTGCATATCAAGCAGTTTGTCATCTAAGCCGCTGGCTCCAAAAAAGGCATCATATGTGGTGAGCAGAATAAAGATTGGGAAGAATTGGTCTGCTCACGTCCATCGACAAGCAGACATTTATCAACAGCTTGTTAACAACATCTCCAATCAGTCTCGTTCAAATTGTCCTTTAAAGGTGGTGAGTGGACCCAGGACATGTCAACATCGCCCACAGGCCCCCAGCCGAAGCTGGAGCGCGAGAGCTGGAAGACAGCCGTAGAGGTACTCTTCATCTTGGATTTAGTTGTGAAGAAAAGGAAAAGAAACAGAAAGATCGAGGAAGTTGGAGGCGGAATTAAGATTATTTTCTGTGCATCGCGACACCTGCCGTATGGGGAGAGACACTAAATATCGAAGTGCAAGATTGAAGTTGGGGTCCCTCCGAGTCCCTCAATCTCAGCATCGGCCGAATCTCCGCAATCAGCCACTTGGACTTCGTTCCTTGACTCAATCCAAGCCAGAGCCAGCTTCCCCGGCTTGACACTTGGTATTTATCCCCCATCTCCTCTCATTTCTTGAGCTCTGCTCCTTGACGGACTCCGGGGACTGTTGGCTCTGACGAGGGTGGTTCTGAAGCGACTGGGAGGACGCCCTTTTCACCAATACTCAGCGCTCTCACCCGTCGCTAAACCCCGACCTCGTACATATATCAACTCACCGTCAACTCCTGGCCGATTCATCACCAACATGGCTCGGTCGCTTGCTTCCAGACGGCTCTGGGGTGCCGCATCCCTCTCATATTCCACCCAATCAGTGTGCTTGTCATGCCGGGCGACCGTCAGAGGATTGTCCTCGTCTAGACGGCTCACCTCGTCCCAGACGGAGGCACAGAACAAGGTATGTTATCTACGTCCGAGAACGTTTCGTTTTCTGACACAGTCCAGCTACTGGGGGACCATCTCAAGGAGGCAGACCCGGAGATCTATCAGATATTACAAAATGTACGTTTAGTCTGCACCACAATCGGCGCTGCTAACAGTGGGCCAGGAAAAATCGAGGCAGAAGCATTTCATCAACCTGATCCCCTCGGAGAATTTCACGTCTCAAGCAGTGCTTGATGCATTGGGCAGTATTATGCAGAGTACGTCCGGTTGCCGGTCTGTCACCTTTACCATTCATTCTAATTGTTCCGCAGACAAATACTCCGAGGGCTACCCGGGAGCACGCTACTACGGTGGCAATGAGTACATTGATGAGTCCGAACGACTATGTCAGAAACGAGCTCTCGAGACATATCGCCTCAACCCTGAAGAATGGGGAGTCAATGTCCAGCGTAAGCGCCTTTCTATTATTCTTACTTGTCTTGTTTTGGTCCGCCTCTAACTGTCTTCAAGCCTTGTCTGGTTCTCCTGCCAACTTGTACGCCTACTCGGCACTCCTTGCTTCTCACGAGAGGATCATGGGTCTTGACCTTCCTCACGGTGGACATCTATCCCATGGCTACCAGATCCCCAGCAAGAAAATCTCCATGGTTTCCAAATACTTTGAGACGTTCCCGTATCGATTGGACGAATCCACCGGCCTGATTGACTATGCCAAACTACACGAGAACGCGATTCTGTACCGGCCCAAGATCATCGTCGCAGGCACCTCGGCCTATAGTCGACTGATCGACTACGAACGCATGCGAGCCATTGCGGACGACGTAGGCGCCTATTTGTTGTCTGACATGGCTCACATTTCCGGACTGGTAGCGGCAGATGTGATTCCCAGCCCGTTTGTCTATTCGGACGTGGTGACCACGACCACCCATAAATCGCTGCGAGGACCTCGCGGGGCCATGATCTTCTACCGCAAGGGCGTGCGTCGGACGACCAAGAAAGGCGAGAAGGAAATGTACGATCTTGAGGGACCCATCAACGCCTCAGTCTTCCCCGGCCATCAGGGCGGTCCACACAACCACACGATTACGGCGCTGGCCGTCGCGTTGAAACAGGCCCAGACTAAGGAATTCAAGGAGTACCAGAAGACGGTGCTTGCCAATGCAAAGGCGCTGGCTGAACGACTCGGCAACTCCGCCTACACGGGCGGGCTGGGCTACACCATTGTTAGCGGAGGCACCGACAATCACTTGGTGCTCGTGGACCTGAAGTCCAAGGACATTGACGGTGCGCGCGTCGAGCGCGTCCTGGAGCTGTGCGGCGTGGCCGCCAACAAGAACACCGTCCCCGGCGACAAATCGGCCCTAAAGCCCGGCGGTTTGAGAATGGGCTCTCCTGCCATGACGACTCGAGGCTTCCAGCCTCAGGACTTTACCCGTGTCGCCGAGATCGTCGACCGCGCCGTCTCCATTGCTGTCAATGTCGACAAGAAAGCCCGCTCCGACGCCGAGTCTAAGGGAAAGAAGAACCCGCGCGCCGTCAAGAGTTTCCTCGAATATCTCAAGGACGGCACCGATGTGCCGGACATCTTGACCCTGAGGAAAGAAGTCGAGGACTGGGTTGGAACCTTTGCTGAGCCGTGGAACAAAGATTGAGCGAGTCATCAACTGACCGCTCGGTCAAGTCATGTGTTGATGTATTGATCATCGATTAGGGTTCGCGAGGTGAATCATGGTATAAGCTGAGCTACATACATACACATCACGTCCCATGTGCTCAAAGACATGGATGCTGAAGTGCCAGTGATCACTGGTCAGTGGTCGACGACCAATAGTCAAATTCCCCGCTGCAGTGAGTGGCTCTTGACAAGTCTCGGTCCTGTATCTTCAAGACCGGTGTGGTTTGAAGCTGCATTGCATCTCAGGCTGGAAGCTGTCGGTGTTAGTATACCTACCAGGTAGTATTAGTGTGCGTTGCAGTGCGGTGTAATAATGTAATCGATTTGGTCGCAAGCTTTCTTCAAATTGAACAGACAAGATTACCTTCAGTTGATGGCCGCTTTCCAACCGGCCCACCCGGTTGTAACGACGATTGCTTACACGTCGTTCATACCCACCCGGCCGGCATGGCATTGCATTGCTTTGCATGAGAATAGTGGAAGTAGTGAAAATATACGATCCAGCTGCGTTGTGCCAGCGACAGTGGCAATGGCAGTTTGGTAACGGTCAACCTGTGCATTGCTTTCTTGGAATTTAAATATAATATTCTCCCGGCGAGTCCACCTTATTTAAGTCTGCACACTCTAGCTGCAGTAGATACTCTACCACTCAATCCAACCACGTCTCATTATTCATCCTTCTCTAATTTATCAATCAATATATGTATGTAGACCGTAGGTACTCATGTCGTCTTTGCTTCAATTGACCCACCTCCCAGAGCGTCCTGTAGATACCTACCGTAGTATCAAGATCTAAAATCAGTGACCGAGTGCGGTCGGATCTAATAGCGAGATACTGTATGTATGCGACCAGGGGCTTTCTCCTGAACTCCTGTACGGTTCCTGTACTTACAGGTAGTACTGCGTGGTTACATATGTACCAGGACCTAGCTTACGGTTGCGTGGCGCGGTAGTAAGGGGTGTAAAGATTCATTGAGTTCCCGACTTGAATCGGTACAACTTGAATCGGTACAACTTGAATCGGTACAACTTGAA